ACAGAGTTAAACAGAATTGTAAGCAATACAATTCCTTTTCTTGGCAGGCGACATAATACCTCTGCTGTAATCAAATCAAATCCTGGGGCCTTTCTCTTTTTCAGGTTATTAATAGTTTTCCGTACTTCAGTAGGAGTACATAGTTGTAACGGAAGGGGCATTTGCTGATCACTTTCGATGATTTGATCAATTTCTTTTTCTGTATTCCTATTGTCGTGTTCATGGGGTTTGAATACATCTTTTAGAAAGTCTGCAAATACTTCAACTTTATCCGAAGGTTTCCTTGCCCATTCACCATTCGACTGTCTTAGAGGAGGCATGTGTTCTTGTGGCCGTTTTAATGACTTGGTAATTTTCCAAAGGGAGTAGTCATCTGCCTTATGAGGTGACAAAGTTTTCAGTTTTTCTTGCAGAGTAGCGTTTTCATGTTCTTTGAGCATCCGTTTTAATTCCTTTTGTGCTTTGTTGAGGGCTCTTTTATCGTGTGCGTTCCTGCTTGTGTGCCATTGTCGCCTCAATCTCCGTTTTGTGATTATCATTTCTCGTATTTCTAGTGTGCAATCCTGGCTCTGAGTCCCGTACTTTATAGTTGGAGTAGACATCCAAGCAGCTTTTTGGATAAGATTTGTTGTATAAAAAGCTGCCTTTTCTATGTCTTCTTCTGTTTTAAGTGGAATCAGTAGATCAGCATTTTCTTCTATAAAGCATCGGAAAGTGCCCCAATCAGTTTTACGATTGTATAGCGTTTCGGGTGGTTCTTTCAAGATGATTGTAGTGCTCAGTGTACAAATCACAGGTGTATGATCGGAGTTACCGTCCAAGCACGACTCCACATTTGTGTACAACCCTGACATGCCTTTAGTGACAAAGAAATCTATTAGATCCGGCGTTTTATTGGGATCGGCTGGCCAGTATGTTGGCTCGCCTGTTGTCAATATGTTGAACAAATTTGAGTCGGTTGCCTTTTTCAGTTCTCTGCCTCTGGTTGTGGTTAGCCTGGAGCCCCAGAAGGTGTTTTTAGCGTTCCAGTCGCCCCCAGCAATGTATCTGTTACCAAGTGTGTTAAGAAATTCATTAAACTTTTGCTCATCAACTCGATGACGAGGCGGACAGTACACAGCTGCGATGTTGAGTGAACCTTGCCAGTCGTCCACTGATATCACAGTACCCTGTAGGTATGATTGTTTAAAGTTTAGTAAAGGGTGGTGTTGGATGTTTTCTTTTATTATAATCGCTGACCCAGCATGTGATGTTCCATCTGGATGGTTAGTGTAATAAATATTATACCCCTTCATTAGGATGATTTTGTTGTCTTTCATGTGTGTCTCTGATATTAGGAGAATATCTATCCTGTTATTCTTTATGAATAATTCGACTACTTGTTTATTGGGAGACAGGCCATTTACGTTCCATGCAGCAATGCGTAGGAATTTCATCATTTCTTATATTGTGCAATTATAGTTGTAAGGAGACCCATTAGGGTACCCATTTGCTGTATGAGAGTATCTATTTTCTCTGATTGCTTGATGATTATCTGTTCCAGTGAACTTGTTGGCTGAGATTGTGTGTTCTCTTGTTTCTTGTTCCAATATCCTATATTTTCGGGATCTTGACTTCTTGAACTTGGAGGTTGTTGTCTAACATAGGGGCCTGCCCCTAGTGGAGGAAAGTCTCCTATATTAAAGGCAACAGTATTATTTCTTTGATGCTTCATATTCGTTGGAGCTTTTTTTTGGGATGGGACCATTTTTCTTGCACGGATCTCTCTATATACTTGGCACCCCTTGTAGTTTGCAGGGTGGTCTCCAAGGCACAGTGTACAGGTAGCAGGTGTATTTCTATCTTTTTTCGGACAATCTAATGTTCTATGGCCTTCTGCACACTTAACGCATCGATAGGGGCGCATGCAATTGTTTTTAGTGTGCCCATATTGCTGACATCTAGCGCATTGGGGAATTTCATTTGTTTTTCGTGGATCTTCTATCTTAACTTTTGTGTGGTATATGGAATCTATACGCTTTAGTTCTGGGTTATTTGGACCAGGTTCTACATTCACGAAAAACATATTTAGCGGTTTCTTGTTTCTTCTAGAAAGTGCGCATACAATTTCCCCTTTGACTTTATTTCCAGTTTTTTCTATTTCGTCAATAATGGCACCTTTTGGAGTTGTGTGGTGTAGGTTTTTGATCACAATTCTACAGCTCTTCTTGTCTTTCTGTGTGAATGTGTGCCCTATAAGTCCATTCTTTCTAATAAGGTCGATAATGCCCTTATATGTTTCACTTGTCTTTGCCATCACTCTCATTTGGTCTTTTGTAATTATTTTATAACTATAGCCATCACTGGGTACGGAACTATTCAGGAGTTCTGTCAGTTTAGATATGTCCATAATTCCATAAAGGATTATCGGTGGTGGTTTGCTGACTTTCTTGGGTTGAGACTGACTTTCTATTGACTCAGTGGGTTCATCGGACATGTCTACTGGGAGTTCACTGTATCTGTTGGAAGTGTTGATGGAGCTTGGTGTGTTTTGTGCTGGATTATTTTTCAATTCCGTAGATGGTGGGCTAATAGATAGCTTTTTTAGTTTGGGGTTTCGTTTTGTGGGCATTCTTTGCCATTCGGGGGGGCGGCTGATGTCATCATCTGAAGGTGTTGGTGGCGAATGTTTTTCCTTTACAGTGCTGGCTGTGCCAAGATTGCCAAGTGAAGATGATCTAGGTCTTGAGATAAAGAGGCTCGGATGAAATGCCTGCTGTACGAGTTTTTTAGTGCTGCCAGTAGCATTCTCCGTCACAGGGGCCTGGTCGCCTACCCTTGTGCAGACTTCGGTAACCAATTTCACACTTGCAGTATAAATAATTGAATAAATAAAGTCAGCAAAAGCGTTTTGAGGGCTGAATTTTTTCCACTTATGAAATTATCTAAATTATGAGAAAAGTAGAAATCTGTTGTGGCAAGGTGCAATCAGTACGGTGGGTGACGGAGAGCTTCCAGCTGTAACTCTTGTAGCTTTGCGATGGTCTGTCATGAAGTGTGAGCTCGTGTGTTGTCGTTGAGAAGCAATGGGGAAAAGCGATTGACCAGTCGTGGTTGTTAAATTGCGAGCTTCTCCATAATTATAATAATGACAACCGTAAGTGTTCTGTTACGCGAGCCGATATTGAGGATGTTTTAAAAAAAACACATAGAATTTAAACGATTATAACATTGAAAATCATTTGATTAACTATATTTTATTGGCACACGCGAAATATATTAAGACGTGTACTAAGCACGCCTTTTAAGTTCTGTCGTTTCCATATTTCCCGGCAATTTTGAATTTGGAACTGTTCTATATTCGAATGTGTTTAAATTTTGAATCTCAAAACGTTTGAAAGTATTAGGATTAATGCTATTGTTTAGTCACAGCGTCGATTGGAATCTGTCAGGTTACGTACGAAAATGAATCTTTCTAAGGAATATGTTCGTGCAATAATTTTCTATTTCTTTAAAAGAAGCCTGACACGTCTTCAGTGTTTTGAAGAGCTAACATCTATGTTCAGTGATGAAGCCCCATGTCTGCGGACTGTCAAACGCTGGTATTTAGAATTCCAGCGTGGACCTACTAGTGTTAGTGACAAATCTCGCGAAGGACGCCCAAAATCCGCCTTCACTAATAATAATAATATAATAATAATTTTATTTGACCAATATAAATATTACAGTTTAACACAGGACATTTCAGTTTAACATAGATCTTAGACAATAATTAGACTAAGTTACAATAGCGTAAATCTATAGTAGTGTTATTTTATTCTTATGGTTGTATGATTCATATTGTATGATTCTCTACACCTAAAGATATTACGATTTTGTTAACAACTTTAGTCGCTGCCTGCCTGGCGATTTTTATATAGCCAGTTAGTCACTATCTTAAAGCCTGTCTGAGCGAGCTCAAAAACTTCACTACGAGATTTCCCTGCAAATAAGAAAGCCGTGTCATCCGCATAAGATATTATGACACCACTTGGTATCTTCAGGCTGCAGAGGTCATTGATATAAACTAGGAACAGGGATAGCTTTTTGCCTAAAATTGACTTTGGACCTTCACCTAAGCGTTTTATTAACACACTAGTAGCAATTATATACTGTTTTGGCTCATAATATATTGGGAATTTGACATAACCTATATATTGACGCCTATATATTGACTTAGAAATTTTTTCGTTTGTTTACTTTAAGAATAAATTATATATCTCTCTTGTTTATTGACATATTTTGATCGTTTTGGTCTCTAAAATTCGGCAACGGCGTCACCTGTACGCGGACACCTCGTTTTTGGGGATTCGCTGTATAGATTTTCCTAAATTTTTCATTTTTCATCGTAATTCTGTAAAAAAGCTACGAAACGTACCCTTAAGGGCCACCTACCTCTTGTGTTCCGAGTCGTTTGTTGGTTGAAGCTTTTAATATCGCTGCGTCGACACCTCTCCTGCATACCACCACCGTTCGAAGACCCTCCGGCGTCCCGTCGGAGTTCTAACACCTGCGAAAGAAAATTTTAGGCTCCAAAATTGTAAATTTTTCAAGTTTTTCGCTAATAATTTGGCAACCCCTAAACTTATATTCGAAATTATTACATATTTGGATAGGGCTCGTCTAGCCCTATCAGACGACACCTCATTTGTAAGAATCCGTCAGATAGAAAGTTAAAAAATTGCCCGCCCGCCCTCCCAAGTGTGCTTAAGGTGGTAGACTCTGCGGCAGGGGAGCCAAACAATTGGATAAAAGCAGGGGAGAAAAATATTTTTACAATAAATTTTTTTTTTTTTTTTTTTTGTTTAATTTCAGTTAGTTTAAGTTAGTTTTAGGACAGGGACGTTTTACATCCCCTAGTTTAGACATCCCTGCCGCGCAGGGAACCTAACGGAGCGTATTCGCTGCTTATTTTAGTTTATATTTTATTTTATTATATTTTGTTTTAAGTTGACTTTTGACGCGACCTCACCACAATAAAAATGGCCACCACCCGGACGCCCACTAAGCGTCAGGAAGAGACAGACCTCCCCCCCCCTAAACAGCCCGCAAGGCTGAGTAGGCATAGTCTGGAGAAGTGGGAGTCGACCGCCAGTGCCTCTACTACGGTGGGGACACAGGGCGCTCCGACCACCTCCAGATCAAAAGGGCCAATTACCAAAAAGCCCACAGACAGCCCAAAGGAGGGGGTGGAAGTGCGTGCGCACGCAAGCACAGTGACGACCACCACCGCAAATAAAAAGACAAAAACGCAAGAGGCGGCTGCACTGGTTATGAGGGCAAAAATGGCCCTCAGCCAATCCAAAAACTTAAAAACGGAGGTGAAGGAGACCCTCATAGATGTTCTGGGCAAACTTAAGAAACTGGTGGGTGACTCCGAGGCCGAACGCGAGGCCGAAAAAGGTCGGAAGGGGAGCGGGGGAGCCGGGGATGGGGTGCCGGTGAACATAAACACCTGCGCCTCGTCCGCGGTTCCCCCGGACTCCGGACCGAGCAAAATTCTCGAGGAGCACTCCCGTCTCCTCCTGGAGCACAAGGAGGGGATGAAGGCCCTCCAGGAGGAGATGGCAAAGTGCACCCAGGCTATTGAGGAGCAGCGTCGGAGTTACGCCACCGTGGCCGCCTCGACTCCGCATAAATTAATGCAACCGCTGAGGCCCGCGGTAACCCACTCTGCCTTACATTCGGTGGTCGTCACCTCCGAAGATAATCAGGAGACGGCGGACGAGGTCCTCAATAGAGTGAGAAGGACCGTCGACGCTAAAGAGGGGTGGGTCAAGGTCGACCGGGTCCGGAAGGCCAAGGACCAGAAGATCATAATGGGATTCGGGACTGTGGAGGACAGGAGAAAGGTAAAGGAGAGGCTGTCAAGGAAAGGAACGGGCCTCGTGGTCGAGGACGTCAAGAATAGGGACCCACTACTGGTCCTTATAGGAGTCCTGACGGTAAATACCGATGAGGATGTCGTCAGGGCTCTGAGGAACCAAAACAGGAACCTTTTTGACGGCCTCGACCCCGGGGAAGACCGTTTACAGGTAAAGTACCGCAGGAAGGCGAGAAATCCGCACGTGGCCCACGTTGTCCTCAGTGCGTCGCCCACCCTTTGGGCGAGGATAACCGGTGTGGGCTCGGTCCACATCGACCTGCAGAGGGTGCGAGCAGAGGACCAGTCTCCACTGGTCCAATGCACGCGATGCCTGGGGTTCGGCCACGGGCGGAAATTCTGTAAAGAGGAGATCGATCTTTGCAGCCACTGTGGCGGGCCGCACCTCAAGTCTAAGTGCCCCGATGTGCTGGCGGGGCTGTCGCCCTCCTGCCGGAACTGTCGTCGGGCAAAGTTCGGCCAGGTCGAACATAACGCATTTAGCGACGACTGTCCCGTCAGGAGGAAGTGGGATGGCATCGCCCGCTCATCCGTGGCGTATTGCTGAGGGCGACCCGGCGGACGCAGTGACGCCACAACCCCGAATGCATGAACTGCTTTATGGGTTTATGTTTCCCCAAAAATGTATATGTTTCTTTAAAATTGTATTTAAATATTGTAAATATGTTGCTAAAAATAAGACTAAAGTTAAGGAATATATTTTAGATAATTATAGTTTGTATAATTATTCTAATATAAGTTATCTGGTAAATAGGAAAAGGAGCATAGATTTAAGTTAGATATAAGATAAATTGCCGAGTATAAATTGGTACTTATACAGACAATTTATAAACTATCCATGTAAACAATCCAATAGTGTCCAAGGCAGTTTAATGTATAAAGGTGTAAACCTCCTGTGTGTAAATATTAGTACTCGTAATATAGTTAAGACCATATCATCATATTGTTTATATCCTTGCCAGCTTTTCTTTTCATTATAAATTTCATATGTTTTATATCAGTTAAATTTTTAAGGTGTTAAACGTAGAAGTAGGTAAAAAATTAGTATCCTAACATATATATATACAGCGTAAAACTTTAGCATCATAATGTTTATCTCCCTGTCAATTTTTATATTTTCTGTATCAATTTACTGTCTTAAGTATAGAAATAGGAAATTAGAATCCCAATATAAGTATATAGTATATAGTGTAATACAAATCTAAAAAATGTAAAAAACACAAAAAGAAAACACAGTCTCGCATCAAGTGTGAGGTCTAGATTTAAAAAAAAAAAAAAAAAACTAGGAACAAGGTACAGCCCAGAACGCTGCCCTGGGGAAAACCATAGCCAGTATTCTTTGCTTCAGTACTTAAGTATTGACCAATTTTCACACATTGACGGCGATCACTAAGATAATCCGAAAATAAGCGAAGTTGTGTCATGGCAACACGGCAACATGGCAACACCGGCCATTACAAACAATAATTCCGTATTTTTTAAATTAATATTAGTAATTTAACCAATTGAAAATAGTGAAAGTATTATCAGTGCATTAACAGCTTGCCAAATTCTTAGTGATATCGTTTTCCACCCCTAAAAGTAACTTTAAACGTTAAAGCAACAATAAACAATGTGCATAGTAAACTGGTTAATTACTTTAAACTGTGTGTGTGAAAGAGGATTACTTGCACGGCAAGTGATTAAAAGTGACTAAATTGACTCAAAACAATACATACATTTGTTCAAGAGCGCAAGAAAATAAATTGTTATTGTAAAACACTGCGTGAGTGTCGTTTTTTCAATTTGAAATTCAAAATAAACAAGGTTCACAGTTCTACCAACATAATGACATTAACTAGCGGTCGCGGTCCAGTAAAAACTAATGCATAGACCTATAGCGTAGTATCTCACTAGTACTGCCATCTATAATTTAGTTTCCCAAACTGCTGTAATTAATATGGATGAAATTATGGACGAACATGAAAACATCACTCACCGAACGCGTAGACACAAACGATCGAGCTCACTATGCGAAATATCAAAATCCGATTCATCCCTATTTGATACTACCCTGATGAGTTTGCCGAACACCTCGTTTGATGACTATCAAACGGTTAAAGAAATGAAAGAAAAAATTAATGAGCTCACGAACCAATTAGCAAGTGCTCACGAAGAAATAGAAAATCTAAATATTGAGAATCTCAGATTAAAGTCAGATCTAAACAAAAGCCTAAAAGTGACGGAGACATTTAAAAAGATCACCTCTGAGAACTGTACGCCAAGGACAAGTAGTTGTAAAAAAAGAAAACAACGTATTGTTTTAACGCCTACAAAAAATACGACTGCAATACACTCAAATACAGAATCCACGAATATGATAAAAAATTCACAAAATCAACTTCTAAATCCCCACTCTGATGATAAGCAGGATACCAAAATTACAAACAATAAAAATACACCTGGGATACAAATTGAAAATGGCATGCCTATTAAGGACTCGAATTCGAGTAAATGTATACAAAATGAAACAATTATAGGTGTACCCACAAAATCACTGTTCACAAATAAAATTCCCGATAAATGCATAGAAACAAAAAACAAAATTATTATTATTGCTGATGACCAAGGACGCTATTTGCAACGTACACTACAGCTTTTAATTGGTGAACGGTTTCACGTCACCTCATTCTGGAAACCAGGAGCTACATTACAAGATGTTTTGATGTCAGAGGGTACACAATTGAATCTTTTGACAAAAAAAGATTACGCTATCGTAGTTGGTGGTATAAATGACCGATCTCCGAGCATTTTTGGTATATGTGTAAGTCATTTCTTATGCTCTTATAGAAATACGAATGTTATGATTTGCGAAATTCCCTATAATAGATACCTCAACGAAATAAAATTAAACTATGAAGTTAAGCTGCTATGTTCAAAATTTCAAAATGCAAAGTACATCGACATGGGTTTTTCCACAAGGGTACCATGTCGCAGATTTTTGCCTATCCATATATGTCAAAATTTATTAAGAGAAATATTAGCTAAAGATTATCATTTACGAGCTACTGATTTTCATGTATCTTTGGCAAATAAAAAATAAAGTTTTAATAGAAAAGGCCACGCAAACAAATGATTTTGAAGAAATAAGCCAGGTAAGTGAATCTTTGTCAGACAGTAGTAACAATATTATAAATGAGCCAACTGACACTCACAAGGAAAATGATGATAATTTTTTTTTCGTGCATAAGTCAATCAATGTCATTCATCAGAATATTAACGGGCTCATAAATAAACTTGATTTACTGTGTGTGAGTCTAAATACACTCTTACAGAAAAAAATTGATGTTGACATTATATGTATAACCGAACATAACATGATACAACAAGATACATCTCAGTTATGCTTAGAGTCGTTTACCCTAGGTTCCGCAAGTACGAGAAAAAATAGAAATGGAGGCTCCTGTATACTTGTGCATCATAAGCACAAATTTAAAACGGTTGAGGAAATTAAACAATATGAAATTTTTAACATTTTGGAGTGTAGTGCGATAGAACTTGTAGATCACAACATCCTGATAATATGTGTGTACAGACCTCCCAGCAGTAATCGCAACGACATTGATAGTTTTTTTTGTAAATTTAATGATTTATTACACAATTTTTGCCGTAAAAATAAAAAGATCATTGTCTGTGGTGACTTAAATATTAATATTTTAAAAAGAAATAAATTGACAACGTATTACAAATGCATTTTAGCCCAATACAATCTTAAACTAGCTATAGAGTCTCCGACACGTTTATCTAGCCAAACCTGCATAGATCATATAATACACAATGTTAAAGGGTCCAAAAGTAACATCTTTGATCTGGCTCTCTCGGATCATACAGCACAATTACTAACCTGTCCTGTGAAAGCCTTTTGTACAATTGATCATTGGAGTGTTGAAAAAAGGGATCATAGTGTTGAAAATTTAGAAAAATGTAAAAAGTGTATAAGTTGTCTTTCATTTAGTGATGTATATAGTAGCAACAATCCCGAACAAGCGTTTAACTATTTTCATGACCTATTTGTTCTCCTTTATAAGTTTTGTTTCCCTAAAGTTAAACATAAAAGGTCCATATATCAAAAACAAAAATGGATTAGCAAAGGAATTAAACTATGTTCTAAACGAAAACGCAGCTTACTTTTGAAATACAGGAGAACTAAGTGTGTCACTGACAGAATTAAATTTAAAACGTACTCAATGAGATTAAATAAAATAATTAGACTTACAAAGAAATCACAGAATGATTATTATATCTCAAGTAGCCAGAATAAGACTAAAGCAACCTGGAACATAATAAATAGAAGTAAGTTTAATATACCAAAAGATTATATCACACAGATTTATGTAAATGGGAAATTAGTTACAGATCCGAGAGCAATTGCAGAAAGTTTTAATAATTTTTATATTGATCAAATTGAAACACTAATTCAAAATGAAAAATCATCAACCAATAATTATTTGACATTTAAAAATAATTTGACATCCAATAATAAAACACATAATAAATTGACATTTAATAATAAACCCACATGCAATAATTATAATTGTAATTCAATATTTATTCAACCTACCACACCACAAGACGTACACAGAATAATAAAATCGCTTAAGAACACGAATAGCACTGGCTATGATGAAATAGGGACCAAAATAATCAAGTATGTAGGCCAAGTTATATCTCCAATTCTCAGTCACATTTTTAACTTGTGTATCTGTGATGGCATATTTCCATCAAGACTAAAAACCACCATTATAAAACCACTGTTTAAAAAGCAGGATAAGGAGAACATGACATGCTACAGGCCTATAGCCCTTATACCTGTATTATCTAAGGTGCTTGAAAAAAAAAAAAAAATTATCTATGAGAGTTTATATAATTTTTTGGAGAAATATAATATTATCACCGAAGTGCAAACAGGATTTAGGAAAAATATGTCTATTAACAGAGCTATTTACAAATTGCTTAGGGAAGTGATGCTTAATGTCGACCGTAATACGCCGGTTTGTGCTTTGTTCATGGATCTTACAAAGGCTTTTGATTGTGTTGACCATGAACTCCTAAAAAACAAGTTGTATAGTTGTGGTATAAGGGGTAACGCCCTGAATCTAATAATTTCTTATCTGAGCCATAGACAACAAGCAACTATGATTACTAGAATGTGTAAAATGGAGATAAAAGAACGATCCTTTCTGTCCGAGTATAGAGAAATTAAGTACGGTGTTCCTCAGGGAAGCGTCTTGGGACCCCTGTTGTTTCTAATTTATATCAACGATTTCCCAGGAGCTGTTACCTCTCCAATGATTCTTTTCGCTGACGATAGCACTGTCATATTTTCTGATAAAAACCATGATAAATTGAAACACAGCATAACCGAACACCTAACAAATATAGTTGATTGGCTAACAAGCAATAACCTTATTATTAATTTGGAAAAATCCAGTCTAATGCTATTTAGAAACAGAACTCGACCTGCTTTGAATTTTGAAATCGAGTTCTCAGGTAAAAAAATAAAAGAGGTTGACTTTGCAAGGTTCCTTGGCCTAGATGTTGATTGCAGCGAGGTGGGCCCCGATCTGTCGGACGCCCAATTTGGTTTTCGGGCGGGGCGTTCGACAGTCGACGCCGTGTTGCGCCTGAGGGCCGTGACCGAAGAGGCCGTGAGCTGTGGCGGCGTGCTGTTGGCGGTGTCATTAGACATCGCCAACGCATTCAATAGTCTGCCATTCAGCTGCATCAGGGAAGCACTCCACTATCATGGGG